ACGTGCTCGAGTACTTTGTGCCCAGTGTAGAGTCCCCACAAATTTTACCTCTGTCCTTGATGGCTGGCAGAACCCCATTGCTCTCCATTTCCCCTTGCTCCATAGGAGCGTTCCATGGGCGCTGGGGTGGAGAGCCGTAGCCATCTCCTGAGTGTTCCAGTACCCACTTGTCTGCGGTGGAACAGAAAGGCGAGGGTGCTGGCGGCTTCACACAAAGGACTGTGTAGAGGATCCTGTAAGGGAAGTGATGTTTGGGCCAAGCTTCATGGCTTCCTGGATGCTCATTTTCCAATCAGAGGACATGGCCCGCAACCTGTAGAACAGCAAGACTTCCGGGGTCTGCTGGGGGCAAGAAGCTTGTGTCATCTTGCTTCCCTGTCTGAGAGGAGCAATGGCCTGGAGCCAGATTCCATCGGGACCTTTGAGCTGGCACGTGCCCGCTGTCAGGGTGGGGACCCATGAGAGTTTAGTTTGCCTAGTGTGTGCCCGTGTTCTTCTTTTCAGGCCACTCCTAGCTGATGTTAGAAGGGCCCAAGTCCCAAGTTCACCTGTCTCCTCTACTGTAAGGTGCTTGTGTATAGTGAACACCCCAGTTGCTCCCCCGTTCTCCTCAGAGGCTGACTGGGCTGGCCTGAGCCTCTGGTAGTGACTGCACAGGAAACAGCTCCGTGTTGCACACACCGTGAACAGTGCTTCTGGCAGGCAGTTCCACTGTCTGCAGTGTTCACAGCAAGTGCAGCTCTGGGGTTTTCTCTAGACAGACCGAAGGATCTGAGTCTTGAGTTAGGGAAAGATGTGTCAGAGCCACCAGCAGCTCTGCTGGGCTGCAGTGTGGGGGCTAGAGAGAACTCTAAATTAAAATGCCAGCTCTCTTCAAATGTTTGGGTGCCATTTGAAAGCTCGTTTAATCCTTAGTGCTTGGGGACTTTTAAAAAAGAATTCAGGATCTGAGTCTGGAGAGGTAATTATCACAAGATAGCAAGGATCTGGGTCTGGAGAGGCGGCTGTCGCGGGATAGCAATGCGTGGTCGTTACCGGAAGCAGTGTTACCGTCACTGCTCGCCCTGTTCTCCTCTGTCTGCGTTCTTTTCCTTGTCATTAAAAGCGTTTCCTCTGTTTTCCTTTTCAGCATTAATTAATCAGTCAGAGTGCAGTTTGAGGTGTGAGACAGGCAGGGAGGTGGCTGTTGGTAAAGTGCTTGCGAGCGCAGGGTCTACCTGAGTTTGATTCCTGAACTACTTAAAAAGCTGGGTCTGCTGGGGCAGTGGAGGCTCATGCCTTTAATCCCAGAACTTGGGAGGCAGAGGCAGGTGGATCTCTGTGAGTTCGAGGCCAGCTGGTGTACAAGAGCTAGTTCCAGGACAGGTTCCAAAGCTATACAGAGAAACCCTGCCTTGAAAAAAATAAAAAGCTGCGTCTGGTGGCATCTAAAATCCCAGTGTTGGTAGTGGGGACATGCGCGTTCTTGGGGCTGGCTGGGAGCTTCCTCAGTGGGCCTTAGGGCATAATGAGAGACTGTATCAGAGAACCAGGTGGATCGCTGAGGAAGGGCCACAGTGGAGCTCCCCTGCGTGCGCCCATACAGAGAAGCGGCAGAGGCTTCACAGGAACTCTTGAAGAGAGGTGGCCAGCTCTGGGGTTAATTGGACTGCATGAAGTAATGACCCTGTGGGTCCTAGTGCCTCTGACTTCTTACCGAGTCTATGGTCCTTGTGAAGCAGCCTTCTGCTGGGAGGTTTAAAGGTGTTCTGTGACTGTTCGTCTCACTCTGTAGTGAGCTGTCTTTGCCTTGTCACCAGAAACCACGCTGTCTGTAACACCCAGGATAAGGACAGCTTTCCCTAGCGCTGTCCGTCATACCCAGGTGCACAGCTAGTTGTGTCTGAGTGAACCAGGCTGTGTTCAAGTAGGGGTCCTGGGCTGACCCTGAGTGCCTGTCCACCTCACATTTAAATATATACCTCATGTGATCTAGAGCTGGGGAGGAGTCTTGCTGGTGAAGACTCGCTTACTGTCCCGAGTGGGATCCTCTTGCTGCTGGAGGCTGCTGGGCAAGGCCATTAGCCCACAGCACAGCTCCCCCCAGGACCAAGCTTCAAGCCTGGCTTACTTTCTCCCTTTATTCTGGTGGTTTCTGAGACAAAGCAAAGGTAGCAAAGGTGGAAGGGGGATGTGGGGGATGAAACACAGGCTCCTAATTCATGGATCTGTCTTTCTCTCCAAAGCAAAAAGACTGTCATGAAGGTCATGCTCCAAGGACATGTGAGAGACTCTAGGGGGCTGGCATCTTGAAGTGGTCTAGAGGATTCCCTTAGACTGCTCTGGAGCCCATCTGGGAGCTGTGTGCTGAGTTAAGAAGCCTCTATCACTGGCCTTGCGCTGTGCTGGCCCTCCTCATGCTGCCGTGCCGCTGGGACTCTGCCAGGACCGGGACTCCACACTGAGTGCCTCACTACACGTTAAAGGAATCGAGTTCTGTTGGTTTTTTGTTTTTTTTTTTTTTAATCTGTTTGTTTTGATACCTCATGCCCCCCTGCTGACATCATCTCGGACAGTCGGGCTTAATGAATGGCTGCTCTGAAGGCGGCTTGTATCTTGAGTCTGGTTTACCTTTGTGAAAACAAGATGTCATTTCTCAGAAATAAATTATTAAACCCGCCAGTTGCTCAGCTGGGCTTCAGTGTGTTTGCCTTCCTTTGCTGCGGGCTCCCAGATAGTCTCCCAGGTAAACACTGGCAGCTCATAGACTGGCCGACCTGGTGAGCTGTCGATACTCTGTTTCCATTCTGGGGGCTCACCGCTTTCCTTGTTTGGGAGTTCTTTCATTCAGCTCGGTTCAGAGGTGTTTCCAGCTCTCGCCCTGGGTGTTGCGAACAAGCAGTGATTCCATGAGAACCTGATGCATCCCTCATTTAAAAGCCGGGCGGTGGTGACACAAGCCTTTAAGCCTTTAATCCCAGCACTCGGGAGGCAGAGGCAGGCCTGGTCTACAAGAGCTAGTTCCAGGACAGACTCCAAAACTACAGAGAAACCCCTATCTTGAAAAACAAAAACAACAACCAAAAAAAAAAAACCTGTTTTTTTTTTGTGTGTGTGTGTGTGTGTTTGTGTTTCTTCCTGCCATCTTTTCCCGCACATTGTTTAAAACGCCTTGAGACAGTTTCATGTAGCCTGTGTGTGGCCGAGGGAGACCTGACCCATTGTCGTCTCGTACCTCTGCCTCCTGATGCTGGAGTCGCAGAAGTGTGCCAGTGGATGCGTAGCTGGTGCCACCAGAGATGAGAGCGAGGGGAGCCCTGTTCCTGGAGTTGTAGAGTCTTGATTCCCTTCTGCCCAGAGAACGTTCTTTTCAGATTCCTTGGGAGTGCGTGTGTGTTGAGTGTATTCCAGAGGTCAGCCTAAATTATCCTTGGTTTTTGTTTTTTTAATTTGTTTTGAGACAGGGTCTCTCTACATAACCCTGCTGTCCTGGAACTCACTATTATGTAGACCATGCTGGCCGTGAACTCATAGAGATCCCCCTGCCCCTGCCTCCCAAATACTGGGATTAAAGGTGTTCATCACCGCTCCTGGCCTCCACGTTGTTTTTTGAGACAGGATCTTATTAGCCTGGAGCTTGGCTAGCCAATGAGGTCTTCCTGGTGCCAGGATTATAGGTATGACCACCATGCCTGGATTTGAATAGGATTTCCAGGAGTCAGACTTGGATCCTGATGCTTGCATGGCACCTGTTTGGAGTTCTCAATCCATCTCTTTAGTTTTGTATGCCCTGTTATTAGTTGGGAAGTATGGACAGCTTTTTAGAAGAACAGCAGTGATAGACGTGCCACGAGAGGCCCTGGGTTCAATACCCAGCACCAGAAGAAACAGACTGGCAGAGTCAAGAAGTAAAGGTTGAACTTGAAAAAGAACCATAAGATTTCTGGGATGGTGAAGACCGGAACACAGTTATTGCCATGTTATCATCCCTGTGTAACAACTTCCCGTTTCCTCACATGTATGTGCCTTGCATGGGAGTGTATGTTGGCATATAGTCTGTCTTTTTATGTTTTTATGTGTATGTGTGTGACTGCTTGTCCATGTGTGCCCCACATGTGCCTGTGGATCCTCTGGAGTTACAGGCAGTTGGGAGCCATGGGATGGGGGTGCCAGGAACTGAGCCCAGGTCCTCTTGAAGAGCAGCAATGCTCTTAACCATAGAGCCATCTCTAGCCCCTGTAGCCTGTCTTTTTAAAGTTTACACATAAGCAATTCTCTTCTTGTAAGAGGACAGGTGCACATTTTTGAGTGTATTACTAGACCCAGTTTCTCAGTTGTCTCAAACTTTGTATTCTTCTTCTTCTTCTTTGTCTTCATCTTCTCTCTCTCTCTCTCTAATATTTTATGGGTATATGTGTGCGCCTGAGTGTGTACACCATGTGTATGCAGGACAGAAGCCAGAAGAGGGCACCAGATGCCTGGAATTGGAGCTCATGGGTGATTGTGACTTGCCATGCAGGTTCTATGATGCAAGGGGGCAGACTGCTCTTAACCGCTGAGCCCCTCTCCAGCCCCAGACCTCCTACTCTACACCATTCAACACCTGTGTGCATGTATCATCACAGCAAAGGCGTGAACACCTTGACTTGGACAGGAATTCCATCTACAGAGACGAACCTTAGATTGACCACGATTTTCCGTTCCCAGGAGCAAGCCATGCAGGATGTGGCAGACGAAGAAGGAATGAAAACTAACTTGAGGCAGACTGCTAGGATTGAATCCCAGCCCTACTGATGATAACTGTATGACCTTGGACATGTTTTCCACCTCTGAGAGCCTTGGCTAATACAGCTCTTAGTGGGTACCCACCTCTAAATTATAAGAAAGTGAGGCCTAAATCATATCCCGGGTATTGTTAAACTCCTCACAAACCAAAATGTTTTCTTTTCATTTCCAACAGAGTCTCACTGTATAACCCTCGCTGTTCTGGAACTCGCTCTGTAGACCAGACTGACTCTACCTCCCAAGTGCTGGATTAAAGACGTGTGCCACCATCACCTGGCATGACCTTGTAAGTTTATGTGTACCACCTGCTTACAGGGGCATAAGAAGCCCAGAAGAGGGCGTCAGAGCCCCTGGGATTCAAGTTACAGGCAGTTGCTAACTGCCGTGTGGGTGCTGGGATCTGAACCTGAGTCCTCTGTAAAAGCAGTAAGCCATTCCTCCATAGTTACTAAATTCTTTAGTTTGTTTGGTTTTTTGAGGAAGGGTTTCTCTGTGTAACGCTGGCTGTTTGAAACTCGCTTTCTAGACCAGGCTGGCCTCGAATTCACAGAGAGATTCACCTGCCTCTGCCTGCCAAGTGCTGGGTACTAAAGGCATCTGCCACCACACCCAGCTTAGTTGCTGCAGTCTTTTTAAAATTTTTTTTTAATGATTTATTTATTTTTATTTTTATGTGCATTGGTGTTTTGCCTGCCTGCATGTCTGTGTGAGGGTGTTGGATCCCCTGGAACTGGAGTTACAGACAACTGTGAACTACCATGTGGGTGCTGGAAATTGAACCCAGGTCCTCTAGAAAAGCAGCCGGTACTCTTAACCACTGAGTCATCTCTTCAGCCCCCTAGCTGCTGAAACACATGAGTGCACATGGTCATGGTAAATCAACGGGCTGACATCCTAGCACGGGTCCATAGGTCAACGGCCGGTCACTGAGGCTTTCTGCATCCTGTAGGCTTTCTAGGGAGCTAACTTACAGTGTAGAGCGTTTGGCTCACGTTTCTCAGGATTTGGGCAAATGAGGCTGCAGGCCGCACTGCACCCACCTCACAACCAGAGCTAGCGTCTCATACCTGGCTAGCACTACCCAGCAGAGGCAGGCAGATTTCTGAGTTCAAGGCCAGCCTGGTCTGCAAAGCGAGTTCCAGGACAGTCAGAGCGACACAGAGAAACCCCATCTTGAAAAACCAAAGAAAAAGAGAGTTGGGAAGCCAGAGTGTGTGTTTGTATGTATATGTAAATTAATTTAATTGAAGTTTGATACCAGCAAAGCTGAAAGCCTGAAAGGGCATCTTAGTAAGCTGTCGTCCTGACAGACATCTCTTCATGCATCAGCTCGCTCCTTTCTTGTGTGCACACTGAAGCCATCAAAGGATCCCTATTTTGTGCATCCTTTTGTAAACTACAAAGGCTTTGAACAGTTTGGAAATAGTAAAAAGGATTTTTATTTCCTGCCAAATAAATTTTTGAAAGAAACCCTTGCTACCCTGCACAGAAGGGACCGCTGCCATCAGAAGGGACCGCTGCCATGCCTGGTGATGTGTCTAGCTGGGCTATTTTAATGAGGAGAGTCGTTTTCACATCATATATATATATATATATATATTGCACATTTTATATATTTTTTTTCCACAGATGTGCACCAACAACAAAGATTCTTCTAACAAGCCCATAAAAGAAGTTTTGTCAACAGCCTTAAATGTCAACAGCGAGCAGGTCTCTTGAGTCAAGCAAACACATTTAAACAGTTTTTGAAAAGATGCTGGAAAAAAACATGAATTGCTTTTGTACCGTGCAGAAGTCTGCAGCCCGCCATGAAAATATGTCTAGAAGTACTTTTTTGAGCTAAAGGCAGACATCTCTAACTGAAATAAAAAAGAATGAAAGAAAAAGAAAATTCACTCCGGACGTTATTGGAAAAGGAATTTTCTTGCTGTATTGGCTTCTCTGGGAGAAGAGAAGCCGCGAGACCGAGTCTAACCTTTCAATTCAGTGCTGTGAAGTCAAGATTATGGATGCTACTGAAAAATATTAAAACATTTCCGGCCAAGTGGTCGATAAGGAAGGAGCTGACGGATATGCCTTTTTAATGTGCAATTCTGGCATTTTCTTTGAAAATTCTAGAAATATGTGGAACACCTCAGAAGTCTTTCAAAGCTGTGTCCACCCCATGGCTTCTAAGTTAAAATCATAGTTAGGTGATTCACTTTTTCTTAAAGGGATTCAAAGCCCTTAAAGATAATTGACTTAATTGACGGTGAATCCTCAATCTTCAGAGAAAAGAAAGACTACTGGTCTGCAAAGATCCTGGAGAATTATTGTATTTCTGGAGAGAGGATTATTCTTGTTTTGATAAAAATAAGAAACCTAGAAGTTTTAATTCTGCTTGTGCAATGTTATTTTTGTATTTACCAATGAAGTGTCCCCATGTATGGCTACTGAAGCAAATTAAAAATTAAATGTTGGGGTTAGAGAGATAGCCCAATAGTTACGAGTACTTGAATCCGGTCTTCTGCACCCCACATTAGGCTGTTCACAACCACCTGTGACTCCAGCTCCAGCTCCACCTGTAGCTGACACCCCTCTGGCCTTCATGAACACCCACACTCCATGTGCACATACCCAGACACATTCATACAAATAAAAAGAAAATGTTCCTTTAAGTAATTATATTGCTGTCTAGTGATGGTATAAACCTTTAATCCCAGCACTCAGGAGGCACAGGCAGACAGATCTCTGAGTTCCAGGACAGCCTGGTCTACAGAGCAAGTTCCAGGACAGCCAGGGCCGCACAGAGAAACCCTGTCTTGAAAACAAAAGTTAAATACAGGGGCTAGAGAAATGGCTCAGTGGTTAAGAGTAGTGGGTGCTCTCCCAGATCCAATGCACTTTTCTGGCCTACATGGTTACCACACAAGCACAAGGTCCACAGACATATGTTCAGTCAAAACACTCAAAAAATCTTAAATTAGAAAAGAAACTCTACTCTTCTTCTTCTCCTCCTCCTCCTCCTCCATCATCATCATCATCATCATCATCATCATCATCCTGGAACTAGCTCTTGTAGCCCAGGCTGGCCTCGAACTCACAGAGATCCTCCTGCCTCTGCCTCCAGAGTACTGGGATTAAAGGCGTGCACGATCACTGCCTGGCGCCAATTAAAATTTCTTATTTAAGTCAAGTAGCAGCCTCCTTTATTTTAAATTTTTAAAAATATCATGTGTATCTGTGTGCACACATGCGCGTGCACACACATCCACATGGTTCACATGTGAAGGCCAGAGGTCAACTTGGAGAAGTCAGTTCTGTCCTCTTGGTTCCGGGGATGGAACCCAGGGTTGCCAGCCTCAGCCACCTCACTGGTCCCAGCAGCATCTGCTCACTGCTTTTGTGCATACATGTTAAGTTTGCTTCACGGAGGTCAAGTTTACAGAAGTGGAGTCGCAGGTTTTCAGGGAATAAAGAGTTCAGTGAGTTTTGATTGTGAATGTGCTTATGGTATCACTGTGTCAATGCATAAAATGTTTCCAGTTCCCAGCAGGTTCCCTCACATGCCTGGTTTGTAATTTCCTCTGGCTCAGAACCAGCCACTGCCCTGGCATCAACAGCACAGTCCTTTCCACAGCTCGTGAGCTTTCTGTAAATGGAACCATAGAAGCCAACTCCCCTGTGCCCGGCTTCTCTCACACCGGTGGCCTTACACCTCTGGAGTGACCGTGAACAAAGCTAGGAGCATGCATGTGCCAGCTCTTTTTGTGTGTGTGCACACATGTTCCTCACTGTAAGCACGGAGAGGTGAGCTTGTTGGGTTCAATTTTTTGGTATTCTGCTTAGCATTATTCTTTCTATATTCATGAAGGACGTTGGTCTGCAATGTCTTCTGCTGTTTGAATCTGGTTTTGGTAGCGGGGTAATGCTGGCTTTGTGGAACATTCTGGAATGTGTTCTTTTTAAATGTTATTCTCTGGGAGAGATTTGTCAAGTTGGTGTTACTTCTTTATATGTTTGTTGTGACCAACGGAGCTGTTGTGATGCTTGGTTCCAGTTGTCAACTTGGGACAACCTAGAATGAGGTCTCCATGAGGGACTGTCAGATTGTCTTGTGGGTATGGCTATGAGGAATTGCCTTGACTGTTCATTGACGTGGGAAGACCCAGCCCACTGTGGGTGGCACCATTCCCCAGGCTGGGGCTCCTGGGCTGTGGAAGAGTAGGGGGTGAGCTGAGCACTAACAAGCATGCGTGCATACATTCCTTCCTGTTCTACACTTGGGTGTCATGTGACCAGCTGCTTCAAGTTCCTGATACCTTTACACCAAGATGATGTCCTGTACCCCTGTGAACTAAAGTAAGCCCTTTCTCCCCTAAGTTGTTTTTTGCCGGTGTAAATGGAGACTGCTCTTTCGTTCCCAGCCACCCAGACCTGAATAATCACACAGAAACTATATTAATTACAACATTGCTCTGCCAATAGCTTAGGCATATCCCTGGCTAACTTATATCTTAAATTAACCCATTTCTATTAATCTGTATATCGCCAAGAGGCTGTGGCCTACCGGTAAGTTTCTGGCATTCTGGCGTCTTTCTCCTATGGCAGCTACATGGCATCTCTCTGACTCCATCTACTCTCTCTTGATCTCTTCCAGCCTGGCTATATTCTGCCCTGCCATAGGCCAAAACAGCTTTATTCATTAGCCAATAAAAGCAACACATGTACAGTAGGACTTCCCAAATCATGCCAGGGTATTTTATCATAGTAACAGAAAGGAAACTAAAGCTCCATTTGGATTTCAAGATTTAAAGTGTGCTTAAAAAGAAACAGCCATGAATGCACTTTCTTAATAGATACAGGACTAATCAGTTTCTCTATTTTGCTGTGGGTAAATTCCAGCAGTTTGTAGTTGTTAAGAAGTTGGCCCACATCAGTTGCTGTCTTAGAGGGTCTCAGATTGCCCTTATTAACACCTTAACATCTGTAGGGCCTGGGAAGATGAGCCATTCCACCCTGATATGGTATTTTTTAACATTTTCTCACTGTTTGTTAATCTGGATAGGTAGTAAATTTACTGATCTTTTCAAAGAACCAGCCTTTTGTTGTTAAGGGTTTCATGTAGTCTAAGGCGGACTAATGCTTGCCAACAATGATGAATTTGAATGCTTGATCCTCCTATCTCCATCTCCTAAGTGTGTGGATTACAGGGGTGTGCTCAGGATGACTAAGAATTTATGTTTTGAAAATAAATTTAAAAAAACAAACAGGCTGAAGAGATGGCTCAGAGGTTAAGAGCACTGGCTGCTCTTGCAGTGGTCTGAGTTCCCAGCACCCACAGGGTGGGTCCCAACCATCTGTAATGAGATCTGATGTTCTCTTCTGCCCTGCAGGCAAAACACTGTATTCATAATAAATAAATATTTTAAAAATTTTTAAAAACTTGGGGCATTGTGATATATTGACTTTCCCCCCTGAATTTAAAATCAATATTTGTCCTAGTCTGCTGGAATGTAGAGAGGTTACCTCCTTCTTCCTTTCCCTTCCTCTGTTAGAATCTTCTCAAGGATTACATGTGCATACATTGAAAACCCCTCCAGACAATGTTACATTTGCTTTCAACCATTATGTATATTTTTAAGAACTTGAAAATAGAAAAAATAATTCACTGTATGCTTACCTAGCTGGGGTAAGTATGGTTTATTATTGTTATTATTATTTACAGGGTCTCACAATGTAACTCTGACTGGCCTTGAACTCAATATATAGACCAGAGTGGACTTGAATTTACAAAGATCCTTCTGCCTCCACCTCCCAGCTGCTGGGATTAAAGGTGTATGCCACGCCTCCCATCTTTTTAGCCAGACTTTCATTCTGTAGACCAGGGTGGCCCTGAACTCAATATGGCCTCAATTTGGCCTATGTGTGGCTCCAGGTGTAGTTAATTGTAACCAATCTTGATGCATACAGAAATGTAAGGAAACCTGCCATAGCAACCTAGGAACTGATCTCAGCAAGCCAGAGCAGCTTAATCCTCGGCCAATCATAGCTAGCGGCTTTGAAACAAGCCTGTGTAAAGCAAATTTGGATAATCGCCATCTGAATACTTTTGTATGTCACTTCTCCATTTTCAGGTAACTGACACAGCTGCTTCTGCTGTTGGTGGAGGCTTCCGGACCCCTCTTCAGACTGGAATGCTGTCTCACTCTGTAATATTTTTCTTCCTTCCTTCCTCTCTCCCTCCCTCCCTCCCTCCCTCTCCCTGTCTCTCTCTCTTATTTATTTATTTTTCGAGTCAGGGTTTCTCTGTGTAACAGTCCAGGCTGTCCTAGGACTCTGTAGACCACACTGGCCTCGAACTCACAGAGCTCTGGTTGCCTCTGCCTCCCTAAAGCTGTGATTAAAGGTGTGCGCCACCACCACCTGGAGTGGTAAGCCCATCTTGTGGAACAGTCTTTATTGTTTCCTTTCTCTCTTTTTCTTTTCTTCTGCTTTTGAGATAGCTTCTCACTGATGGGAGGAACTCACTCTGTAGATCAGGCTGGACTAGAACTTAGACCCGCCTGCCTCTGCCTCCCAAACGCTGGGATTAAAGGCGTGCACCAGCACACGCAGGAGTTGTTGTGTTTCCCAACGATTAATTTCTCAACCCACTTACTTTTCTATCTTTTGTTTCTCTGCTGATCGTGACTATTCATCCTAAGGTCTGTGTGATGGCTCTGAGGGACTGGCCTTGCTGCCGAGCCTAATGGCCCGAGAGTCTTTTGAAAGCCGCAGGGTGGATGGAGGATGCCGTGCCTGCTAGCTTTCCTAGGTGAAGTGGTGCTAATGACTCCTGTGCTGTCAGGAAAGGTCTTCAGAGAGGAGAGGGCTACGCCCAGATCTGAGGGATCAGTGGACATTCGCACTGAGAGAAAGAATGGTCCAGACAGACAGAGGAACCATTAGAGATACACTGTATTTGAGAAAGAGAGGACTAGGGCGATGGCAGGACCTAGTAGAACAAGGCTGGGGTCTTTCAGACCACCCAGGGAACATTAGTGTCACCCGAATAGCAGTGGGACGTCAGGTTTTAATCACTGGGTTGCGATAGGATCACACAATAATACCAAAAAAAAACCCAACAACAACAACAACAACAAAACCCACTTTAGTTTCAAGGAAAATACACTAGAAACAACTTGACTGGACACAGATATCACAATTTGTTGGGTACTATGGACCCCCAAACCCTGAATTTCCTCTGACCCCCTGCCTGCTGGAGTGAACAGCTTGTTTTCCTGTGCTTGCAGCTGCTCTGAGCACGAGACCCCCAGGAGTTCCTGATGGCCGGGGCCTGTTTCTGGTGGGCTTCCAGCTGAGAGTTAGGACGTGGCCATTAGTCAAGGAGACCCTATATAAGCTGCCCTGGAACACAATAAAGGAGCGTTCTTGGGGCATTCTTGGCTGCCTGTGTGTTTCAATCTCCAACCCCTTGCCCAACTTGTGAAC